TGTTGTGTAATGTTATGCTGTGGTAGAAATTTTTTTATTATATTAAAAATATATAAAATATAAATTAATATTATTAAAAAATGTAAATATTAATTAAAATTAATAAAAAATAAAATATTTATACTTTTAAATGAAATGTTGTTTGAAAAAATTTGTGTAGAATATCTCAAATCGAAAGTTAAGGGTATATTAGTTTGAGGAAAATTGAAGGTGAGGGAGGAAAAGGATAAGTCTTTAATTAATTAAATTATAATATTTTTAAATATTGTAGTTTGATTGATAAAAAAATCCCATTCTCATTCCCTTAAATCAAACATACCCAAAATATTTACTAGTTATTAGAGAAATTACTAAAATATATCTTTTTTTAGTGGAACTAAAATATATTTCTTATTATGTGAAATTGGTTAATATTCAATTATATGATATTTTAAATTATTTAGATGAAATTTATGGAGTTTTTATTGAAAAAAGGACAAAACTCTAATTACAAATTATAATTTTCAAATTCCATACCACATCTTTCGAAATCTACTATTTTTTATTCATTGATAGATTTAATTCTCTTTCTTAGTGATTCTCTTATTTTCCTTAGCATTTTATTTTCTTAATTTTTTTAAAGTTAATTTTATTGATGTTGGAATAGAAGGGGTACTCAACCCTTATATCGTCTCATTGCTACCAATATCTAACAGATATACTAAATTCTCCTTCGCTGTTTCATCGCTGGACTAGGCCTCAACTATATATCCTAATCTCAATTCACTATTTTCCAAGCCCTTTTTACTAACTTCATGCACAAGATTGGCTCCCTCATCCATTCATAAAAGCTGAATAAATAACCATCAGTTTTTCCTTTGAGCCAATGAAAGGCTCTCAGTTGTATGAGTTTAAAAAATCGCCCCTCTTCCATCTGTACACCTCTGAATATTTTTTTCATTCCTTGCCAACCAAACTGTACAAATGCACACCATAGAAACAATCCTCCAGTCCTCACCTACCACTCCGCCGCTTGGTAAGTGGTATAATTGTTCCAGAGCTTGATTGCAATTGAAATGAAGAGCTGAAAGAAGCTCCCACCAAGATAAGTATTGAAAATTGATTGACACATATTTGATTTGAACACATTTTTTTGACATTTATTTCAATTAAATTATTAAAATATAATATAAATACAGTTATTTTAATCAATTTTATATTTTATATGTATGATTATATTTTTAAATTTATTTATTTTTTATTTTATATTAAAAAATAATTTTTTAATAAATATGAATAAATCTCAATGAATAAATCTCAATCATTGAAAGTGGAGAGATGAATATAGCATAAATCACGCAAACCACACCCTAGTAAGAGTCCCCAGTACACCTAAGCTCACTTTACCCAAGAAAAGCCCTTGGCTCCTAAAAGGACCACCTTGT